TTTGTCACAACGTCTAATCACACTAATAAGTTTATTTAAATTCCCGTAACATAGTTATAAAAATATTAATGTAAAAATGAACTTAAGTTTTAAAAATAACACGTTGCTACCAGACTTTACAATTAAACAAAGTGTGTAATTATAAAAAGTACGTGTTAAAATAATATTTGTCTCATTCGTGGCCATATGGTCATGGTATTAGTGAAGGGTAAAGATAAATGTTGAATGGATGTGATGCCTAGGCGCGTCTACAAATATTGGGCGTAGATAAGTGTTTAAATCTATAATTTTTTTTCATATGAATTGCGCGATACCTCTTTTACGTTGTCATTTCGGAGGTTTAACATGTTATGCCTCTTATTCTGTGACTTCACTGCTTTTTCTACTCTACAACCGAAATATAGCTTACAAAGCTTAAAAGTGCTTGGCAGCTGAAATAGGCTTAGTAAAAAGTCGTCTGCGTCAGTCTCAGTTCACTTCTTTATTGTGCAATTAGATAGTTTTTCAGGCATCTTTAGTGGACAGTAACCGTTTACCATCAGATGGCCCTTATGCTTACTTGCTAACGTAGTATAAAAAAAGTGAATAGAAATTGTACGTAATAATATTAAAGACATACAGAAACAAATTTCTATCTAATTTATTATCTGTTTGATATGTAAGCAAGATTTTCAGCATCACATGTCACGTTGTATTGTTACGCCCGTGATACTTTTATGCGTTATCATTTCTGATTACTAGTGTTGTCTCTGTATCCCGTAATTTTACTGCCTACGTGTCTCCTTTCAATTTGAAATGTAGCTTACAAAGCAAGCTATAGACACCAGTAAGCTAGAGCAGCAAGCTAGAGACAGTATCACCAGACGGATGATTTTGTATATAGTCTATCTCGGTACAACAGTTTCTGTTGCAACTTGTATTCTATACTGTTCCTCCGAAGGTCTCAATTTGTTTACATTTATGCCTTTCAAAAAAGGATGTTTACATTACCGTGTTTATGTGTTATGTTTTTGTTAAACCAAGGAATTTGCAGTTTTTATTATTTTTACGCGTGTCAACTTTAAAAAAATAAAACATATTACGCATTCTGTGAAACCAAAGGAAGTGATGTTCTGTTATGCTAAGTTTATTATAGTTATAAAGTCCCGACCAGTAAGATATTTATTAAAGTTAATACTGAATGGATTTTAAATATTCTTTCAACTATAGAAATTTTGATTACCAATCAATATATAGTCAATATAATAAGGGCGGATACTTAGTTTTTTACAAATTTCATTTCCGTCAAGTAGCTTGCTTAATGTGTTTCAGTAGAAGGAAGTGCTAAGTCAATCAAATTATGGGGAGATATCATACTGATAATCAATGGATTGCAGAGTATCCATAAAAACACAAACTTCTCCAGAATAGCAACGATTGAGAGGTACCACAGTTGTCATTGATTACGTGATGCCATTCATGCTCATCATCAGGTAGATTGCTTTGCCATTCTAATGGCACACAAAAATGTGGGAATACACAGCAATATAACTTTTATTACAATGTTACACTAAGTAATTTTATTATTAAAAGTTGCATTCCTATAATTATAACATGACGGGAATATAAACGTCGCCAGTAAACACTCAGAAACTATGATTAGTGGCCATTAATTGAGCAAATAAGTGCCGTTTTACAGTAACCATAACTGTAACAGTAAACAGTACGGGCTGTGAGTGCCACTCAATTCAGTATTTACAAACAATTTTTATTATGTACAGCTATTACAATGAAAACGTAGTATAGTTTATTTTTACAGCGAAGACTATAAGGCCCCCCCGCCTTGAGCTTGACGACCATGGAAGATCATGCTCCTTGTAAGACTTCTTATTTTTATTTTTGCCTGATCTTAGTCCCATTTATTTGGAGTCGGCCCGTCTAGTCAATCTTCGCCAGTACGGTCTGTCCTGGGTCGCCTCCGGAATTATTTCGGCGTTTTTTAAATCCCTATTAATAACAGACATCCATGTGGATGGTATGGCTGGGTACTCGTGTCAAGTACTGTTTTCGTCATATGGTCTGATGGTCACCACATGAGGTGACCAAACCCTTCTACAGTACTTGAGTCATCTTTAAACTGCTTCGAATGTCCAACTGTCTCGTCTTTGATGTGGTTCAACATTGCTATGCTACCATCCCACATTAGCATTCTCATTTGTAAGACTAATAATAAAAAAAGATGAATGTTATAGGCATTGGCATTACAAGGAGTTTGGCCTTACATACTACACCTACTTAACATTAATAAAACATATATAAAAGTTTCGAAAAGAACTCTAAAGTATTGCTATTATTCTCTCCTAATTTCAATATCAATATTCTCAATATTTATCGGTATAAGGTTTCTTACTGATATGTAGTATAGACACAAGGTTTTTTTTATACTTCTATGGTGACAAACAAGCATACGGCCCATTTGATGGTAAACGTTTACCGTAGGTAATCTACAGGTTACATGTTGAGCGTAGCACGTTTATTCTCATAAACTCGATCTGAATTTGTTTGAGAGGTAAACGATGGAGAATAAAACTTTCTGTGAAATTTTGGTCTCGATCGGTCAAGCCGTATCAGAGTATAAATGAAGTATTTATTTAATGATCATGATATATATTTTATTATCGTGATGTCACTTCTAGTAGTGTCATATTTCTACGATAGCGGATAGTGCCGCGCACATGGCCGACCATGTGCGTTGCACATTGTCATGCGATATATGGAAATTATACCATGGAGTGTGGTGTGAGTTTTTTGTTGATCCCATTCTTGGTATTTCATCCTTTATTTTGTTAAAATATATACTCTGTTTGTTTAGAAAAAAACCTCTGTGGATAGAGTTTTACATGATGTATTTTTTATGTTATTGAAATGGCAAATAAAGTAGTGGATCTGATGTTAATGGTAAACCGTTTTCTGTACACTGCATGAACAGAAACATGTATACATAGTATAAAATGAAGTCGCTTCCGCTGTCTGTTCGGTTAGATCTTTTAAACTATGCAACGATACTAATGCAGTTTTTAACAATATATACATAGAGTGATTCAAGAGGAAGGTACATGTACATGTACACAAGTGCGAAGTCGGTAGTTACTATACGTCGTTCATGCTTATGTGTTACCAATCCAGAGAACTAAGATGTCACACCGCTGATCTAGTAAATTTACTTCATTATTTTTCATTTCTACTTCGTTTTTATTCGTCGTAGCATGATGTTATATAATCTATAGCTTTTCTCGATAAATGCGACGTCCAACATTGAAAGAATTTTCAAAATCGGCTGAGTTGTTCCAAACATTACTCTGAATATCCAAACTCACTAACTTACCTCTTTATAGTATTAGAATACATTAGTGACCCGATCGCTTCGTCTTATCTATTGAACGCTTTGAATATTATAATTTATTGTCGCAGATCCTCTCTCGACAATTATAAATCAATCAGCAACTATAGATTATCGTTTATTAGAATCGAACTCGTAAACTTTAACGCGATATCCAATCACACTAACCGAGATAGCAATCGGGTCGTAGAATTTTTAAGCAAATAACAAGAAATAAGCTCCGCTTTTGCAGTTCAAACTAATTGCCTTTCAGGGTTGCCAACATTGAAAGTTTTTTCTCGTACAAAAGAGCTCATAATTCTTGTCCCTAACAGCATCACCAACATTGTCCAACGTTATATTTCAAAACTTAAGATTTCTGATATACCAAAGATTTCATTTTGGCATTTATATTAACTCGTAATCAACTACAAAATTTAAGATGCAGTAAATATTAAATGTACTTTCGTAGATTAAGATTTCGTATAAAAAATAACGGTAAGTATTATAATGGTAAAGTCTCCTTCATATGATGTATGCAATCGTATAAAAATATTCCAATATTATGATTTTAAATTCAAATCAAAACATTGTTATAGAATATGTTGGTACCACGTATGGAAGTCTAAAAATATCGTAACTTGTCGTTTGAAAACCCTGTTATCTTTGGCGCCTTGCTGTCGCTAAATTAGTTTATGCTAAACTTGAATTAAAATAAAGATTGGTCATTATAATATTAAGGCCGTTTATGTAGTAAATGGTATTAAATAAAGCATAACTGGATCGAGAAGCCAGTTAACCAGCGGGATACAGGCAAGTTTTGACATAATTAAAAATATTAAATTCTTTGTTTTATATTTTGAAAATGAAATGTTATGTTCATATATGGCCGCTGTTTAGAATTTTTAAAATATAATTCTTTGTTTTAATTTTTGAAAAAGGAATGTTGATGTTCATTTATAGGCATCTATTATAATTTAAAAAGGTATCTAATATGAAATAAATGATCTGTTGTTTATTTGATTATGAAAATGTATTCATATTTTTTAGGTATTTATTGTAAAATATGGATCACGTTTGCGTCTATTCAAATTTATATAATAAGAGTTGTTTTTAAATATTGATATCAGTATCTACGAATCCGCGTGGAAAATAAATACAAATCTATAATAAAGTACCGGTATTTAATTATCAAATTTATAATTAGAAACATTCTTGTTACTATCCATTTGAAATAATGGGGAAGCGGAACTATTTGTAGAACTTAATAAATATTTATACAGTTACATCATAAAATAGTAATTATCTCTAAGGAAAAGATAATAATGAAATCTGACAGTATTTAATTATTGAAAATTAATGACTGAAATTATTTACATTGTATGTACAATTGTGTCCGAGTTGTTTGTAGGGTTTTCTATGTATAATTTCTTCATACTTATTCTAATCTCACCAATGACCAATCCGAGTAATAAAAATATTTATTGTCCCTCTTTTTAATGTACTAACCTTGATATTGGCGGAGAACCAGTCTCATATGGTAGAAGTTATAATAATATAAAGACGAAAAATAAGACAAATATTGTTGCATTGAGATAAATATATTTTAAGCCTATGTCTCATAATTTTTTTTTTGTTACAGAAAAGCAATGAGAACCACTTGAGCTAAGGCAACTTACAAATGAAAGAAGAAACTAACCAATATGCGCCAACCATATAAGCTGATATGGCGGCAAAATTCAAACATTTGTTTGGAAATGGAACACCATTTATAGAGCGGCGCGTGCGCGGGGATGATTCGAAATTCGAAAATAGAACGGATATACGCAGGAAATGGCGGATACCGGATGTTGGGGTGTGGATTTTAGCTGTTGCCATGCTGCTGACCGGTTGTTATGGTTACCAGGAACAGAGATTTGCGATGGAGCCTCAAGATCAGGTATGTATCTCATAATTTATCTTTATCAACCACGAGAAAACGTTCACAATTCCACGTTTTTTTACATGTATACGCTGGGTGAGCCTATCAGTAAGTTATCTATTAGCAATCCCGTGTACTTACAACTGTCTGAACATAATATATACTTATAATTTTTTTTTATCAATGTCTAGACGGAATATAAGATATATCAATTGTTATATTTTTTTTTTTTAATAATTATATTTTTTTACGCAAACTTAAGAACAAAACCAAACTATAGTCATGAAAGTATTTGCTATAGACCGCTACATCCCGCACTGGCTTAATCAGGCACTAAGTATGTATGATACGCAATGTTTTGGCAAATTCGACATTAATTTTAATGACCATCTTTATGGTTAAAAGAGATTTTTATTTTGGTTGTTTAACTAATGTAGAGTTTCATCAATTTAACCGTAGACTCTAAAATTTGAGTGGGATGAGATCTCTATATTTTTTTTTTTATATATTTTCATATTTTGCGTCAATAGAGCAGTTTTAAGCTTTGATTTGGTTTAGAGCGTGATGTAGAAGTGAAGAGACAGGTTACAAGGTATGATAACTTTGACGACTGAATTAATAAAGCATCAGATATATATGTTCTAATAGAGGACGGGACTGTACTATTTGATGTTATAAAAATGGTAAAAAATAAAACACTTCTTGGAACTAAGTTTTAAATTACAATACTGGGAATTGTTTAGTCGAAATCATAAGAAAATAATAATTTTCTTGAAATTTAATAATATTGTTTGTAGAAACAAAGTTACAGAATAATTTAGTTGTTGTTGAAAATAAGTTGCGGTATTTTCCGTTATTGTTATTATTATAACTAAAACTTATTAAATATTGCGATATTAGCTTGTTTGAAAGTTTTAATAGAAAAAATAATATAAACCTTTTCTTAATGGACGATAACGGAATGGTGCATTTGCCAGTGATAACGGTGTAGGCAAGGCATCAGTGGAAGATGATAGGATGAGAATGAAGTCAGATCAGTTAGTCCATTGTGGCGAATTCATCAGAAATTCATCACAATAGTCTCAATAAAAACAATTTGTCTTTTTTCATAAATTTGTGGATGAAAGTTTAAATCACAAATTGTCTGTAGAGAAGTTAGATATAATTTCAATGTTTGTAATTAATTTAGAAGCTATGATGGTTCTAACATGTTAACTATATAGCTCCTAAATAAATAAAGAAGAAAAAACATCTGTAATAATAATTGGGCATATATATTACTAGCTGTGCCCGTGACTTCGTCTGCCTGGAATGTGCCTGTGACCTAGACCAAATAAAGATAAGATTTTTAATAATCTAACACAAAAATCCAAAGAAAAAGTTACATTGTTTTAGCTTCAAAAATGACAAATTTCCATACAAACTTTACCCTATAATTTAATTCAACCCCCTTAAAATTATCATTTTTCAAACTTGGAATGTCATATTTATTTATATTTAATTAACAGCCTAAACTATGTTTCAAGAATGTAGCTTTAAAAATGACACTATTTCCGTAAAATCTTTTGTCTCTCCTTTCAACCCCTTACATAATTTTTTTCGCATTAAAAAGTAGCCTATATCCATTTTCATGACCAATGTCTATGTATGTACGTACCAAAATACCACCATCTATGTACCAAATTTCATTTAAATCGGTTCTGAAGTTTTGGCGTGAAAGCGAGACATACAGACAGACAGAGTTACCTTCGCATTTATAATATTACTAAGGATTAGCAATCATGATCTCATATATTAAGTTGCGGACAGAATCTAAAATATTACGAATTTTTAATAATGTAAATATTAATTATGCATTATTTTTAATGACCGTGCCGATACTAAAATGATGTTTATGTAGTTTTTAATGAGGAGTCCCATTTATCAATTCCGTTTTATGGCCATTTTGTGTCCACTCATAGTCTAGTTTAAATTTTATTACTCGATCATTTAACGGGTTTGAACATTATAAGTAATTACTTTGGAAGTAAACATTGCGTTTTGACAAAACCCTATGGAATCGTAGACATTTTTTAAATACACATAAACTGTATATTATTAATATTGTAATATTTTCATGACTGTTATTATAGGTGGGATATTTAGAAGGATTATTGATTGTTGATGTCGTAGCGAAAGCAACATTAAATATCTCCTACATTTTATACTTTATAAATTATTATTAAATAAATATACATTGTAAATTTTTATTTTCTATTTGTTTTGTAAATAAACATTCATTTCATTTAAATTTATTGTTACAGAGGGCGGATTGTGTTGGTATGGTATAGGTGTTTCTTTTGAAGTCTCATAGTAAACCACGAGACTTCAACAGTCTTATATATTAAAAAAAATTAGAAGATATTCTTACGTTAACGGTGGTTTTTTTATTTATTTTACTATCTATGCAAGATTATTTACCATGTAATCACAAAATAACAATTCCACATTAATATTAATGTTTCAAATTAGCTGTAGCATATAGACATACATGCATAATTATATCTGCCGTAGTAAAATCGATTTTATTATAAAAACGTTTACAGTTTCTGTCATTTGTTATTGTATACATATGGGATGTTGGTATAAGCGATAAGGGACGAGCGATTTTATCCTTGCTGTAGGCATGAAATATAGTTATTATTGTGTTTTATACGTTAAAATGTTACATTCAGTAAATTAATGATGCTGTTAAGTGTAGAAAAATACAGATAAACGTTTTTTTTAAAACACCGTTTATCAATAGTACACGACTAAATAATATATACAGTTAAGTAAAATATCAACAAAAGAAGTATATAGTAATACCACAAAAATCATCTAGTTTCTTATTTAGATATATACATGATATAACTATTTAAATTCGTTAAGTAATTGTACGTTCAATAGTATAGTCGTAAGTAAAAACAAACAACGAACAAAACTCACACATCTAGACATTGACACATTTTTGCATTTATATTGTTAATATTACAAAATGATGCCGCTCAACTTTAAGTTTAATCGCATGGATTTACGCACACACACAGTAATACACGCACACAGACGCAAATAAACGTGTAGCGCAATCGGTGTGGATTTAGTATGAACCATTTTGATCCTTGTAATATTTTAATTAATAATGTGATATGTTTTTACTTAACTGAGTAACATAAACTATTTATTGGATTTTTTTAAATAACGTGATTTATATTAATTATCAAAGTGCTAATAATGACCATATTTTTTTATTATATTATTCCTAGAGGGTTGAAGTCAGGATGCTGGCCGATTGTATAACTAAAAGCCAAAACCTTAAGTAATATGAGTAACAAATAATTGGGATAAGGACAGGAAGATGAAATTACTATAACATAAATGTACTAATTAATTCTTATTATATATTAATTAAATTTATTTATTAATAAATACAAGATAATTTATTATAAGAGTCGGATGCATTATTTATTTGTTCTAAATATTAAACTTAGGCAAATAATTATTTTATTTATATATAATAGTTGTGTTTTCATGCCTTTGTTTCGATTTAAAGTTTACATCCTTATATGTATATTAGGTGTGGCCGCGACTTCGTCAACGTGGTATAATGAAATTTACCAAATAAAGGAAATATATTTAGATTATAACCCAAAAAAGTTTAATTGTTTCACTTAAACAATGACGATACTTTTATACAACCTGTCATCTCCGCTTTCAATCCCTTACAACCCTTTTTCGCACTATAAAGTAGTCTATGACCTTTCTCAGGGTATACTATCTGTGTATATGTATATCTATCTATATAGACTATCTGTGTATATATATGGCAGTGAATTTACAGGGTACATGGGGAATAACACCTCAGGAATAAAACCTCACATTCTCAGGAATGGCAATGCATGGGGGACCGTCAGTTGTTTGCCATTCTATTGTATAAAAAAAGCTTCAACTGCTATCATTGCTGTTCCTGCATCATTGACGTCGCCGCATGATTGGCTGATATTGCAGCTTCTCGTTCTTGGTTGGCCGATTCTTGATTCTTGATAAATAATTACGTGTTAATATCAAAACTTTTTATAGATTATTACAAGACGCCTCATTGCTTATATGGAATGAAATCACCATGAGCTATAGAGACTTTTGACAGAACCTTAAAAGACCTTAGAAACACCTCTGCTCTCATTGGCGGGATTACTTTTATACTTTTGCTGGAGATTTCTGAAAGACTCTCTGTGTCATTAACATCGTCTCCCTTATGGACTTTAATTGAAAGTTTAAAACTACTGACAAATATGAGAGCCCATTTTTATGGAAGCACAGATAGTGATTTCCTACACTAACTGCTCAAACTTGAGGAAGGAATTTCTCAAAAGCATGATCCAATCATGAAATTTAAGCCCGCCGAACATGTGCAATGGCGTCCCATTGGATATGTTGCTTACTAAAAAATTGAAAGACAACTTAATCGTAGACCAGTATAACCGGTACGTTAGCTGGGCAACCAGCTTATATACCAAGAATACCGATGATTCCAACTGATCTTACCATTTTAAAGTTAAAATGTCTTCTACACATGTAATAGATCTGTATGTTTTGATCTTAAAAAACTACGCAGATTTTGATTTGTTATTATTTAATAGACAGAATAGATAGACTCAAAAAGAAGGTTTATGATAATGTCCCAATACTATACACAGATCTTTAAACGCGCGATAATCTATATATCCCATGTTCACGCGGGCGAAGCCACCAGCTGAAAGCTAGTCTCTAAATAAAAACATTTATAATGTTGTTGACTTATCACCCAAAGACACATAATTATTAGACTATTTGACATAACTGTACAGTAATGAAAGTCCAACGAGTATAATAACACAATGGTTACAATTTAGAAATATTTGTATTGTGTAAAATAAAATAAAGTAAATTGGATAAAATATCTCTAAACATTAAGGAATTATATATTTATATATAATTTGGTAATTTATTTACAATCCACATTACATACTAGATGATATAACACAAGACAAATATACGTAAAAATAATAATGGTATTTTTATAAACAATAACCCTATTTTAATTTAGAAAAAACTACAAAATAAACATAAAGTAAAATTCGTTTACATTTTCTTACATTTTTCTCTCAGATAAGCAGTTTTTTTTAAAAATACTAAAATGGTTTTTTTTATTTTTAACAATTAATTGCCATTAGTGTGACGAAATACCATGCTCTTGTGCTTTTCATAGTGCAGCAGGGTAGGTAGGTTTTATCTGTAGCATAACTGTACTTTTGTCTTGGCATGCTAAAATAAATATTATATATATATATATATTAATATTCGTAGAAATAAGTATATATTAGCAAAATTAATTAAATATTACTTAAATTATCAAAATGGTTTAGTCGCTCTATACTAATGTTCACTGACGAATGTCTTATCTTAGCGGTGTTGTAAAAAATGGCATAGGTACTACCTCGACGAGCGCTAGCGCAGCACTGAGAATTTACTTTTGGCGCAACGGAATTTATACAACTTTAAATTATTATTATTGTTTATTTTTTTCTTAGAAACTTATATATTTTTTTTATATTTCTAATTTACAAGTATATTAACTTTATTATTATGTTTTTTTTATGCAAAAATTTCGTTGTATTTATGAGAAAATTAGAAATGATTATGGCAAAGTTTTGTTGAAATTTCGGGTTTAATTATGATCAATTTTTTAGATATTTAAGTTGAAAATAAAAAAAAGACGATGCTGTCTCAATTTATAAAGTAATTATCAAGTTTTAGTATCAATATCATATCAATTTATGTTTGTTTATTAATAAACGACGACCCCAAACTTCTGTCTCTTAGCGTTTTTGAATAAACTATTTTAGAAATTAGGAAGACTAATAAAGAGAAAATTAACATTTCAAAGATGTAGTTTTTAAGATAAGATATCTATCTATATAATTCAGGAATCAAAATGTATATCCGACTCTTAATTTCTTAGAACCAGAACCCCAAAGACCCCGCTTTTACGCCAAAAAATGTGAAAGGCCTCTTAATATAGACGATAAAACTGGGAGAAAACGCCTTAAGGTATTAAGTCCGCCATTTGCATCAATATTTGTGTATTTGTATATTAATTTTTTTTAAGTTTTAATAAATAAGTAAATATTATTATTTCCAAATTAGTTTGTTACTAAAATAAAAAAACAAAATGCTGGTCACCTGTGACTTGAACCATGGCGTCAGCAAATAAATTTAAATTTATAATTGCACCTCTCATTAGCATAGGTATTTTGTTACAATCGCGTTATATTATCAGTATACCACAATCGGGATGTTTAATTAAAAGTAGCTACGACTCTAATCAGCTGTTTAATTTGAAATCTCGATATGAAACGCGAATATGGCCGCCCAATGTCGGTCGTTGACATTCAAACGTGTTTTTTTATATAAATCGTCTCTACGGTTTCTCGGAGAACAACGTATTTATGTAAATTTAGACAATCTATTTGATGGTCTTCATAAGTTTAATAAAATTTCTGTATTGAAATAATGATAAATAGTTTTATTATGTATATTTTTTATTTCTCTTTTTAAGGCTCGAGTTTATATAAACTGATTTGTTTATTGTAATCGTACTAGTGGCGTACTACGGTTCGCTTTTGAGTTTGTAAGTTTTTGTACATATTAACGTAATTTGTAGCTTAATTAGCTAAAAACACTCTAGAATAAGATACGTTTCGATTAATGAAAGCATTTCTCAAATCAATCTCAATATAGTGGTTTCAAAGTTTACTTTTATTTGCTCATAACCGCAGACTTTATAATATGAAGACTAGAGTATGTATAAGATAAATATACAAATTAAAAGTGCAAACAAAGTTGGGTCGCTATATTATATACTATGATATATTAAAGAAATAATTTGAAAAAATCTACAAGCTTGGTGGCTGTTACAAGCTACAAGCAAGTTTTTAGACTTTTAAGCAGTTTGCTAAGCTGTGTTTTGGTTGAATTGTGAGAAAAGACAACAAAATTATAGAATGACATATTAATCCTCCAGAATGATAACGTATGCGTTATATTAGGGCCTTACATGATAACGTAATGACCATGGTGCTGTTCATATATATAAGTAATGGTTAATATTTACCGTTAGGTGGGATGTCATTTGCAGCCACTGATCTTTAATTTTTTCGAGGTGGGGCAAAAACTAAAAAATGCCACCCTCTAATACTCCACTGCCCTCCCTCTCCGGCCAACATGTTTGCAATATATATATTAACATACAAATTGAACAAATAGTATTGCTGTTAATTATTGTGAAAGTAACAGTTATATCTTCATTTTCAAATGCATTGAACAAAAACGATTTACTTGACGTCCCTCTGTCGTTGGTCAAGTTGTCAAAAGTGCGTTAATAATGATGAGTTGTGTATTCATCTGCCGATTCGAATTTGGTGCCCTCAGAACTTGCCGCCCTGGGGGTATAGGCTCCGTGTTGCCACTTTCCCTCCCCCCTAGATTCTAAACTGCCATTCCAAGCACATAAAACAAAGATGCTACATTTGAAATAAGTGCATATAACATAAAATAAAAGAACTATGATGGCTAACCGCTCATCACTTAACTACAAAAGGATCTTACAAGTTGAACAGTGCTGGAGAGGCAAATTTCACATCCCATACACGTCTCATCTCGTAAGTAGCTCTCGAGATGAAAACTTCAGTTGGAGTAGTGTTGTGTCCATTTTAAATTTTACAATATTTGAATTTCTTAGCAACGAATGCCTCAAGTATCTTGAAACAAGATGTACAAACAAATTTAGATGTGGCAAATAGTGACTCGTATATTTATGATTATTTGTTTTAAAAACAGCTTTAGAATCGTATAGTGTGTATCTTAATGGTCTTGAATTAAAATAATGTATTATAAGAACCATTATAATAATTTAATCTTTTAAACCGCTATCAAAATCAGGATCTGATTTAATAATAATAAATAAATAATTCTAATATGTATGTTTTAATTTAGAGACATAAAACAACTTCAAATAAATTGATTTGTGAACTGTATTCACTAATATTGAATAAGCTAAATATAAGCAAGACAGAGGGCGACCGAAAAAAACATCAATGGATTGTGTGAAAGATGATATGTATTAAAGGAGAGTATGCTCAAATATGACAACAGATAGGGATCATTGGAAGAGGATGACATACTGCACCGATGACAAATAATAGGATAAAGGCAAGGCAATGATAATGAGCTACAGTTAGGCAGATACTGTAGTTTAAACTTTCTTGTTAACGTTTCTGTTTTTTAGTTAGTTACGTCGGGAAATTATTACCGCCGATGTATAAATGTTTAGGATAGTATATAAATAATCGCTAAACAAGGAAACCTAATATAAAAACTTAGAAGTTATATTTTTTCATTCTACTCCTCATTTGAAATGCAGACTCATTATACGAAGAACAAACAAGAAATAAAGACGCACGACCAAGTAGGCATATGATAATGAACATAGAAACCGCACGCAATCTTTGTGCAATCAGTTAATATTGTCAGCACTATGTATTTTATGTTTTTTCTACAAAAAAGATTATTATCATTTACAAACTCCTAAATTTTATAATAAGCTTTATTACAAAAAGACTGTTTTATATGATATTTGAATAATTGATGTAATTTTTTTCATGGCCTGAGTACGCGTATAATTTAGAGATATGATAGAAATACGAAAAGGCGTGGTCCACTAATAGATAAATTTTGTTCAACAGAGTGCCATAGTCGGCTCCAGGGTGACGCTGCCTTGTCGGGTGGAGAACAAAGTGGGTGCTCTACAGTGGACGAAGGACGACTTCGGTCTTGGCACACATCGGAACTTGAGCGGATACGAGAGGTACTCCATGATAGGGAGCGACGAGGAAGGTGAATATAATATATACCTTTTTATATTTGACGGCCTCAGTTCTCTAGCGGTTTAGCACACCGCCTTGCTTCCGATGGTAACGGATTAGATTCCTCGCTCGGTACAAACATTTGTATTCATGAGTATGATTGTTTGAATTGGTCTGAGTATTTTATATTACATAAATATATATATATTATTTATGAATTTACAAAAAAAGATCATCTATGTATCAGCTTGAAACTAGATGGCGCTGTGTGAATTGTCCTGAAATATATTCAATTATATATATATATTTATAAAGTTTCATTTTTTTCAGAGTAACACAGTGCTGAGTTTCTTGTCAGTTCTTCTTAGTTTGAAAGCACTCCGAACTGACTGATTTAATATATCATAAGAGTCTGTAAAGTTCTACATGAATAAAGATATTTCGTTTATTAATTAGACAACAAAAAAAACATTTACGCCAGGTTTTCCTAAAAAAAAATATGACTTAGATCAACTTTACTATTCTATTAATATTCAATACCTTTTTGTTTAAAAGTCTGTAAACATATAAAAACCCATCAAGTCGTATTAAGAAGGATTACAAAGGAGGTTTGAGTCTAACATAATCCGACCTGTGCTTTCGCGCCATTGAATAATAAAAAAAATATTTCAGAATAAGTGAAAAAAGAATGCGAGTGTTTTTCCGTTTATTGTTAATATACCTTCACGTCTATTATCTTAAATAGGGTAACTATACCTAATATAGGTTTCGAACAAAGTCGGGTGATGAAAGTGAAGTGACGAACGAGAGCGACGAAGTCTACGTGAAGTGGGAAAACTAAAATTTATGTATTTTAGAAATAACTAGAAATGTGTGTTTACTAAATTAATAAAATATTTAAAAAATATGTAGGTACGTGAGGCGATAAATTGTTATCGCCTCACGTACGAGATTAAGGAACAAATGAAATGACAATGTTTAAAAAATAATTCACTAATTATTGTATAAAATAATTCACAATTGTCAATTTAATAATTGTTATTTTTTAAACATCTCATTACGATTTACATTAATTTAAAAAAATAATAACTTGCAATAATTTCTCTAAATATTCAGTCTATAACCGTACCTTGCTCCCACTTTATGAAATAGAGTAATGTATGTATTTAACTACAAAATGTGTATTAATTTATACTGTATTCCTTCTAGACTTTTTTGTTGGTCTGTGTCATGACCAGTAACTACGCATCTGCAAGTATTAGATCGTAAAGATTTATTACACAAAATCTGCCCAACAAAACGCCTAGCTGTCTTATACTATTTATGTTGTTTTAAATACCTATTAAATTTGTACAAAGCTTCATTACATCCAACCGACTTTCAAAAAGGAGGTTACCTAATTTGGACGTAATTTTTATAACGTACGTAAGAATTATTAATGATTCTTTTTGCAATTAATCAATTTTATTCCTAATCTCTAAATAATAATTTTATTAAGTATTAATAGTCGGTTATTTTAGATATATATATATATATATATATATATATATATATATATATATATATATATATAAGATATATTGTATAAGAAATTAGAACTTGGAATATAATCTATATATACGTCGAATTCTATTAAAATATTTTTAGCTATTTAGTCGTCACAGAGTCGTATTCATAATATTAGTATGGCTAGATCATTTATTTTAAAAATTGACAATTGCTTGTTTTTATATATTATGTATGATTTAACTAGCGAACTAGCGGTTTAGTTTAGTCTAGTTTTAGTTCACTGCCTTACTCCTGATGATTGTTTGTATTAGTCTTTTCAATTTACATTATCTACCCTATATATTGAAAACAAATAGATTCAACCATTTAAAAAAATCAAACTCATTTACAGTAATATAGCTTATGCATCATAATAACATATAGGCTATATTTTCTACTGAAATTTAGCGCGGATGATACCGCGGGCTCAACTAGTAAAACTATATACTAAATCTAATGTATAAAAACAAACAAACTTAGCCCTGTCTGCATCACACGCAAATCTAGCGCGATATAATTAGACAAACGCACAAAGTCAACGACCGGTCCGAGTTGGCTATGATGATTTCTTGACGCATAGGAAATATTCTCTCAAGGTCAGCAATCATCGACAGATGTGAGACAATAGCGGAAATCGTTTCATTTTTAAACCATGATGCCATATTCGAAATCTATTTGGTAATTTCGCAAAATGGTTATTACATATAAAATAAATTATAGGTATTGTTTTAGGGTTGTACGCATTTTTTAATTCTGAATCTTAGTTTCGAGGAGAATAGTATAGAAAATCATTTATTCAAATAAACTTACATTGAAGCACATACATTTAATCTACCGCTCATTCGGAAAGCTGTCTCATCACAAGAAGAACGAGCAAGAAACTTGTGTGTTGCTCTTTTAAATAATTTTATAATTACTTTACAATTTAAGTTTAAGTGTGTGAATACAAACTACCGATTAGCACTAATTCAATTGAATAATGAAATAGAAAAAATATTGAATACACAACAACTGGTTAAACAATTAATAAGAGGAAATCAGTCATAGTGATTAGAGCAGACCAGTGCCTACAAACAGTACCCGTTCACGAGTATGACGGATGAGCCAGCCATCACTGCGCTCGACCATATTTTAGGGAGCCCAATGACCCGGCCCACCACGACGCCGCCACAAATCTGGACATTTTAGTGAGCATGACTAATAAGATAAATTATCCAACTTAAGAAAACTCTGAATGTACGAATATGCTGGGGAGGGGGAGTAGACTATGATAGGTTAAGAATGAAGTCAGATCAGGTAGGTCATCGTAGTTAAAGCACCAAGTATTAAGTGGATCATAAATGTAACTTATATTGCAAGCAATGGGGTCACTAATAACCCTGAACAATTAATACAGCCCCATCTAGTCCCACGGTAAGCAGAGCTTGTCTTGTGGGTCCTAAATAACTGATATACGTATGTATAAAAAAAAATTTTTTTTGGAAATATATGTATATCTATATAAAAAACACTCATACTCATGAATACAAATGTTTACACTGTGCGAGGAATCCAACCCGCGACAATCGGAAGTAAAGCAGTGTGCTTAACTGTTAAATCAACGAGGCTGTCTATATTTGATCTGTATAATAAACAACTGGAATAAGATTAGTTGCTAAGGGATGAAAAAACAATTTGGGTGTATCAAAAGATGAGCAAATACAATTCAATTAGATAGAGCTATTCTGGGAATACTTTTTAATAAGCTAATCGGACTACGCGTTTCTTTGCTTAATGAAAAATGAGGATAAAAAATGTACTGTTATTCTCATAGTGTAAGTACTAGTATATTTTTTTTATATTTTTAAAATACTCGTGTTTTTTGTTGGTTATAAATTCTACTTAATTTGTATTAATGATTTAATTGGCATTTGATGTAGGCAATTGTTGTAGGGTGTGTAATTGTTTTTTAAATAAAATATTGCTCATTTTATTATTTAATAATGTAGTTTTCTGGAGATCGTTAGTACACATACTAATTATCCCATTGCTGTCGTATTATGTTAGGTTGACTTCCACACGGTTCGCTCTGGAAAACATCGTGATAAACTCTTGTTGAATTTGTCACGATGGACTAACTGACCTGACCTCATGTTTATTTTATCATCCTACAACAGTGATCCAGCGTTACTGTTAGTGGATACACCATTCCATTATTATCAATGATTTCTTTCTTCTATTAGTGAAAGAATATTTAAAATCGGTTAAGTATTTTTTCATAGTTCATTTATTACATGCAAAAACAATCTAACTTTTCTTCTGCAACCTCAAATGTAGTACTAATGATACTTATCTTATAACATATAAAACATTATGAACCGTTATTATTTGTCCAAAGGAATGAGATAACGAAGAAGCAGTTAATGATGTTATAATTGGAATGATTATTATTTATATTTTTTTTATTCACTGTATTTTTTTTTTGTTTCAGGAGACTACTCATTAGATATAAAAAATGTGACACTGGAAGATGACGGCAAATACCAGTGTCAAGTCAGTTCAGGATTGAATGGTGAGTTTTTTTTTCTGGAATATGTTGTAGAAATATGTAGTAAAACTATTTGTGACTGGAAAAATGTACTTAATGGTAAGATGGTAGAGAGTGAAGTGAGAGATTATATAATATTGTTTTTATAGTTTTGATTATAGAATACAAGAAAACTTTAAATATATTAATCAGGGATGTTAAGGAACTCCGTAACCGTAACCGAATCCGAAATAAAAGTATCGGATAATATCGGATAGGGGTGGAACCTAATTGAGACACGTTATGTAACCATTTTATTTGTATTTTACTTTTGAAATTCCTTAAAAAATAAATATTCGTAACCGAAATTATCCAGAACTAACGGATGATCCGAAATTATTTCATATCCGCATCCGTATCTGTATTCGGTATAATAATCATTATTATATCCGAATTCTATCCGCATCCGAAGTTTTATATCCATAACATCCCTGATATTAATATAAAAAGAGTTTCTCAACAGAATGACGACCATCTAAATACGGAAACAGTATTACGCATATTATGTTGTCATGTAACGTGGGTGGTATGTCCCATGAATTGCCATTCCCGTTTTTTGGGGTTGACAACTTATCGTCTTGTTGTCATGTGACTCGTGTAGTATCTCTCATGAATTGCCATTCCCGGGACTAAGGTTTCACATTCATGTTTTCCCACATGCTTTCTTTCATTTCCCTATTTCTGTGTAATGTGGTGCTTCCGTACCCTATAATTTTATCTGTCAAACGGAACACTGTTTAAAAAGCTGATAGTGGCATAAATATATACTTATGCCTACAGAGGCATGTATGTGTGTTTAAGAGTCTGTGCAAAGTCTAAGTAGAATTTGCACCCTAGAAAGGAAGGTCCGGGCGGAGTCTCGCGGTGTACATCCTTTAGGGATTTTGCCTTCTCGAGGTGTTCATCCGAAGCTCAGGGTGGGGAAACGGAATAATGATCTTCCTACCACAAACTAAGAGATTCTTGGCTGGTAGAATTTCGGCAGTTTCGTAAAAAAATTAGAATTTACACAAATAGACCATTGTGTACCTAGGTATGTACCTATGTATAGTATACATAGACGCCTATGTAGGCGTCTATGTATACTATTCTTCAATTCAGTTTGGTATTTCCAAATGTTTGTGAATGATGCAAACATAGTGTGTAAAAATAAAACTGGAGATTTGATGGTCATGTTTATTGCATTGTATCAGCTTCTATTTGTACTCGTATTCAGAGTTGAGTCGATCCGATTCTATACCTACTTTATTTTATGTAATTGGGATGGCAAATCAGTAAGCCACTGTCAATGGCAACCGCCTTACTTCCGATAGTCGCGGATTCGATTCCTCGCACAGTCGGTACAAACATTTTCATTCGTAAGTATGTTTGTTTTTATCGGTCTAGGTGTTTACTATATATATTATATACATATGTATAAAAAGAACTAGCAATAAATGTTCGTATCGTGCGAGGAATCGAACCCGCGATCGACCCAGATCCTGATACAATGTATAATTTGCCAAATTCAAAGTATAATTCTTTTATGAACCAGGTGAGCCAGCAATCCGTTCCCGGTACGCTCAACTTATGGTGTTGGTAGCACCAGACCCTCCCAGGATAATCCAGGGTGCCTTCATAGATGCTACTGAGGACCAACCAGTAGATATTGAATGTGTCTCCGTTGGTGGCAAGCCTGCTGCTGAAGTAAGTGCAAACAGATTCGAAAACATTTTTGTATGTAACGGATATATCAAGAAAATTGACAATCCACGTGTCGGTTAGCGGTAACCGTTGCCTATATCCATCAACTACACGGTATCGCGTCATCATATTAAGTTACTTATGCGTTACTACTATAGAGGACTGCATAAGATATGCCTCCAGATATCATATATACACATGGATGCATGATATCTTATTATTCCGCTTTCTCTGCCTTATTTCAATCTTCAACCGGAACACATCTTCAAAGCTCTTAGGCGACTGAAATAAGTGAGAGAACTGACAAATAAATAAGAGAAATCAAAATAATACAAATATTTACAGCTGCCAGCAATATCCCACCATCCTGTGACATAGTCACATCTTACTTAAAACTCACTGGTAACGCGACCAGTTTCAGTGGCCGTCAACAAAGACTTCATACAAAGTCTATGTATCAATTGCCACCTAAGAACAGTTTATATGGGAAATACAAAAATTTGATTTTTACCCTACTCGGATACTTTATTCGCAATTTATCGAAAAATCTATCTAGATTAATTTATTCAGTCGTTCGCCAGTCTTACCTTATTTAATTTTGGATTATTTTATTAATTATAACAATCCTTTATCAATAATGAGAAATCAGAACAGGTCAGTAGTCACTAATATCATGACTTCTTTTAGATAACGTGGGTAAACGGTAACCAAGCTGTCATAAAAAAAGATGTTAAATGGAAAACGGAGTTGTTACCAGACGAACAGAGATTTCAAACGAGGTTTGTACAACAAACATTGTTAAAACTGGAGTAAAATCAGTTAATTAAACTATTCTAAAAATACGTTTTTGTTAAGATCTTTAAATAAACCATGAATCTTGCTAACAATTTGGCTTTTTAATTTGAAAGTGTTGTATTTTAAATGTTTTGCAATAGTTATAATAATAAATAGAAGAAAGGGTACAGATACTTACTGTAGAATATTTTGAATACAAAATATTCTTCTGAATTTATAGTTATATATATTCTTCTAAAAAATTTTTGTTCCGAAAGTCATAAGACCGTGACAATGTGAAAACACTCTGTTTGTCTGTTTATTTGTTTCTGTGTAAATTTCAGAAAAAAAATCGTTAAAAAATGTATTTATATTGTCAATTAAATAAATGGAATTATTTTAATAAAAGAGGAGGGAACTGGTACCTAAAATATAGGTTTCTACTTAGTTTACGTACCAGGGAACAAAGTAAATGTGATTATTAAATAGAAAATAACTTATTATCATTATTATAAATTGTATTATTAACATTTTACTTATTTTTGTCCTTTCTATTATCTTTAACGGTTTATATATTATATTTATAGATTATGGAGTATAGACACAGCTAGTTGTTAATATGCTTGTATGTCACACAGGTCAGTATTGCGGTTAACACCGTCCAAGGAACACCATAACCAGACAATAACATGTCAAGCGCAGAACACAGCCGACAGAGCATACAGGATGGCCACTGTACATATTGAGGTGAGAATATGAATGACTGTATTGCCTTACATCTATAGCTAGATGAAAATTATTTGTGAATGAGAATTATTCTCAGTCGAGAATATTCATACTTATAATGGCAATTATTTATATAATGGCCATTATAAGTATTCTCATTATTTCTAAAAACAATATAACTGTCATGTTATATATAGTATATATAACATAAGAGTTAAATTGTTTTTAATCACTATGAATAATTTATTATCTTACTCCAAAAACAATATCTACAGTAATGTTATATGTTTTTATAATGTTTGAATTAAAAAACTACCAGACCGATTTAAAAAAATCTTCCACTAATGGAATGCTATTAATATTCTTGAATAATATAGGTATATTTTGATTTCTTGATTATTAACATTTCTATTTACTTGTCTGTACAGGTGAAATATGCACCGAAGCTGAATGTATCAATAAAGTCTGGGTTAATCAACGGCAGGATACCCGAAGGTACCGAGGCGAGGTTCTTGTGCGAAGTGGATGCCAATCCGGCGCCTCAAGTGTACAGATGGTATCTAAACAACAATCCAATGATTGGCGACTACACCGATGAAATGGTGAGTGTACACATAAACATAAATGTTGTTGACGACCTCGGTGTTCTAGTGGTTTAGTACGCCGCCTTACTTCCTATGGTCGCGGGTTCGATTCCTCGCACCGCACAATCATTTGTATTCATGAATATAATTATATTTAAATCGGTTTGGGTGTTTTCTATGTATAATAATATGTATGTATTTATGAAAAAAATATCTATGTAGGTACCTGTATCAGTTAGCTAAAGCTTGTGTTACGGGTACACTAGCCCATAACACAAGCTTTAGCTAGATTAACTTGGGACTAGATGGCACTGTGTGAATTCTCCTGAGATTATTATTATGTTTAAATACCGATTGTCGCGGGTTATTAAATTTATTATTCCTCGTCCGCTATTTTGTATTAAATACAAATATTTATTTGTATTCAAGTGTACGATTATTTGTTATTGTTCTGCGTATTTTCTATTATTATATATGAATTTACAAAACAAGTATATCTATTAGTACGCTAGCTTGGGACTGGTTATTTTTTTATTTTTATATTACGACGGTGGCAAACAAGCATGCGGCCGATGGTAAATGGTTACCGTAGCCTGATGCCTGAAACACCAGGGGTGTCATCTGCGCGTTGTCGACCCTCATGAAACCTTAATAATGTCCCGAGTTATTTCTATAATTAACTATATTTTATATTTTAATTACCGATTTAACGAATATTCTTAATTTTACAAAGGCAATTTTCTTCTAATTATATTAATTGTTGAACTGTTTTCGAAAATAGCTACACAATGCAGACTCGACTTCAGTCTTTAAATGCTTTTAACTCGAGATGTACATAGCGCACGATATCCTGAACAAACAAATAAAACAATTAGTAACTTTACTCATAATTTCAATAAACGTACCAAACTTTGTACAACTAAGACTCATAATAATAACTGTGAAATGCAATTATTATGCTACTGCACATTGCAGTCTGACTACCTCGTAATAACATTCCTTGAAGGCCTTTGTATTAGGTACAGACGCTATTTCATTAAATGCAGCCATTTCGTTAATACTAAGATACAATTTACTTGTATTTATGAAATTATTTTAATATTACAAATGTATTCAACTACCTCATTCCAAATTGTAGGCGATTCTAAATATTTCTTTAGATGGTGGTGGCTTTAATTCTTGCTTAATGCAAATAATAATATCTCAGGTCAAATCACGCAACGCCATCTAGTCCCAGAGTCAGCAGAGCTTATGTTATGGCTATTAGATAAATGTTAGACTATTTAGATACTTTTGTTTTATTATATAAGTTTGAATTGAAACTTTACAAAACCATAAATTATTTTTAGAGTCGATTACTATATTTAAGGTGATAGGAATCGTCTACGTATCGGTCCAGTATTCAATATCTAGATATAGAGCAATATCAAACGCATATACCTATTTATTGGATCTGGATATCTCTGTCGCTTTGATATCATTGAGTGACATCCTAAGGTCTGTTTGACCGCAGTTCAATGTTATCTAATACAAGGATTAGAGACTGCTTGATATTAGTAATACATATGCTTCAAATCTGTTTATCAGAGGATCATAAATTAATTAGAATAACAAAGAGATTAATTCATCTAAATGGTAATAAACGTTTACGAACAGCCCTACGGGTATCATGTGATACTCTATGATGATACTGATTATAAGCACAAAGAGACTAATTATCCATCTAAATAGTAATAGTAATTTAAGAACAACTCTGCAGATATCATGTGATTCCCTGATATGATACTGATTGATGATGATGAGCATAAAGAGACTAATTATCTACCTAAATGGTAATAGTTATCTACGAACATCCCTACGGATATCATGTGATACCCTGTGATGATACAGATGATGGGTTGATGATGATATCATGCGGTCTTATTCCGGAGGACTAAGATATCATGCCATTTATCTTGTAATTTCACTGCCTCATCTCACTCTTCAAAGAAAACACAGTTTAGAAAACAAGATGATTTACGGCTGAAATATGTAAGACTTATAGACGAGTAGTACAGGTCGTAGTCGTATGTAAAGTATATATAACCCAATATCGCCAATAAAGGACCAGGAATAACCTAACATTGAGGGTGACGCAGTTAGAATCGAGTCATAACTCGATTTTCTAGGCAGTTGTGGCCCGAGTCCCCACCAACATGACCACCTTTATGAAGGCGGACTACTGGACGAAGGGTGTGGTGTAGCGGCGCTACCGTGGCATATTGCCGTCATCAGTGCCGTGACCACAGAGATAATTTATATTAATTACAATCTCATTCATATGTATGTTAGTCTGGAAGGTATTTATAATATGGGCCCTTAGTAGCCTGAATGAAATAAATTAAAATATATAAATATAACTGAAATATATACGAATAGTTTTTTGATATTTACTTTCAATACCATTACGATATAATTGAATACTGCCTGAAAGCGAAATTACAGAGGAATTAAAGGCAAAGTCATTATTGACTTTATTTGTATATTAATTCGGTCAAATATTACTGACAAATACAGCCTGACGACTCAAAAAATCAACTACAGAAATACGAATACGTGCAGGTTAATAAAACCTACATTAACGTCGAAACTGCAATCGCAGCAAGCCGTACAGTGAATTTTTCATTGGAGCGAACTTGATGGTTTATGCATGAGTGAATCTCTGCGTATGCAATTCTGTATTGCAAACGTTACATATTGTTGTGTCATGACATTAATGGACTAGTTTGCAGAGGTTTCTAGAAATATTACTAGATGTTATGTAGGTAAAAGTTTTATCAACCTTTTTTATATAATTTAAATGATTAACTGATGATGCAATAACTATCTATATAAGAATATTATATTTACATGAAAAGCATTATGATACCTAGATATCATGTTTAATGATAATCTAAGCGATAAGCTACATAAAAAGCTCCGTTATATATATCACGTTATCACGAGACTCCCGTGATACTACGCATGCTTTGCAATTTGACCCATGTGGTGGTAAATGGTTACCGTAGCCTATGGAAGCCTGAGACAGCAGGGCTGTCACATACGGTTTGCCGACCCTTAAGAAACTTTAATATACCTTGAAAAACACCATGCTGTAGTCTCGTGAGAAAACCTCGGTGGGTAGTTCATTCCACAATTTAAGTGTACTCGGGAGGAAGCTCCTCTGAAACCACACTGTCCGGGTCCGAGACCACTTAGGTTCTAGCGTGTGTCTACCTCTTATCTTGTAATTTAACTGCCTAATTCGCACCTTACAGCCAAAACATAGTTTAGAAAGCAAGCTTCTTTGTGGCTAAAATAGACTAAGTAATTTTCTCTAAATTCTTCTAAAGCATTTAGAGATAAACTTTGAGACATAAACTGATTACATATCTCATTTAAAATTATATATAGGATATCGCGGTTTTATGTAAGCTACGATTTGCTCCTTGAGATTTCGTCCGTAGTTTAATTTGAATGAAATGGCGGTCGCCCTTAGTTCTCGACTGCATAAGATCGGTTTATCCCCATTAATTCATTTTTGTTTAGCTTAGCTTTTTAGAAGTCAAACTAACGTTACCATTTGTGTGCAAAGTTTTGTCTTTTTGTTTAGCTCCTAAAAAATCTAGCTCTATGTTAAATATCTTCCTCAAAAATTGAGCTATAAAATTAATATATTTTGAACAATTAAATTAACCCGTTAAAGCTTGAATTGTACTAACTTCTAAACTGTTGTTACAGATTATCTTCAACGTGTCCCGTAAGCATAACAAAGCCGTCGTGAAATGTGAAGTCAGCAATTCAGTTGGGAGCAGAGACAAGACAGTGACTCTGGATGTTACGTGTAAGTATTTTATTATCAATGCTCTGTACGTCTTTATTAACACTACCCGGTGTAATGGTTTATTCTTCTTACTTGATACTTTAAACTTTATAAACAACGTTACTGTAAGTAAGTTTGAGTACTTAGTAATTAGTTTCTGTTTTTTCTTTTTCTTATTATACAAAACAAAATTTAGAGTCGATTTTGATTTTGACTCTTTTAACCATTCTAATGCTATTATTTATTGCCTTAACTGGTCTTTACAGTTTCACCGATGCTATTAGTGTTGTTAATTTAAATCAGATTCCAGAGCACTTCAAAAAGTTGGATTTTTTTTATGAATTTTTATTATAAATACAATATACTGAAAATAATTATGTTTATAAATTTGTAAAGTTCCATGTGTAAATATTGAAATAACATAAAAAAAAGTCTAATCTTCAGATTTATGAAATTACTAAGCTTCTAATTCCAGTTTTTATCCAATGTCTTCGACAATAGCAATATATAGGAAGTACTTTTAATGAATCTATATGATGAGATGGTTACCATTTTCCGTCAAGATGATTCTGGTTTTTTTGTTATTTGAATTATATAAAAAATGGTATTTTAGATGCCCCAGCATTTAGAACTCGACCGCAGAACATAGCAGCAGAAGTTGGTAAGAGAGTAACACTCAGCTGCGATGTGGATGGTCAGCCCCAGCCTGAGATCCGGTGGCTGTTTCACGAGCCCGGACGGATAGGGGTAAGTGGCTACCATGCCTGTTCTTATCCAATTTTTATTTCCTAAATTATGATACGGTTATTATTAATAATAATAACATTTATTAGTGTTATCCTGGACGAAGTAATTAGAAGTATTGTCAATAATTAGAGTCCAACGTGGTAAGGACGAGCCTACCGCCGCCTCGGATTATCCTTCTAAATTTATTAAAAGTGATATAAAGTTATACTAGGTTTGTTACGCGCGTTTATTCTTAAAAATTGTGTGTGTATTTTATAATGCAACATTCTAAAAAAAATATAAAAAAAAATGATGTAGGTAAACAACCCTTATCACTTAGGGGTACGAAAAACAGATAGTAACCGAATTTCAGGCCTATTGAATATGCATACGTATATAAAATTTAATAAAAAGTGGTCAAGCCGTTTTGGAACAGTATGGTAACTAATATTGTGACACGAGAATATTATACATATATAAGATAGTATATAAACAGTATTTCAACCAGCTACTTCAGTTTAAACTAGCAAGAAACTCCCTTATACATTTTTTAAAATCTATTATAAGACAGAGTAAGTGCAATTAGTCTTTAATATTACAGTAATTAAAAGTAAAACAAAGGTTTTAATTGAAGAATGAATATTGTATACGTTCAGAAATAAACCCAGTGTTTATACCTTGTTTGTAACAGAATACATTAACTATACATAAACGGAATACATAAATACATAAAGGCTATACAAATATAGATCTTGACGAAGACAAATTCATTTTTAGAATCCATTTAACTAAAATAATTCAAATATATTGAGCAAAATGTACTACAGGCTTGTCTCGTTGATTCAAATATAAATAGCGATATGTGGGTATATAAAATGTCGCGTTTACCACAACAAAGGCGTCTATGGTATACGGTAGCACGCAGAGGTACTGTCTATGGTATACGGTAGTACGAAGACGTACTGTCTCTGTAATACGGTATTACGTAGAGGTACTGTCTATGATGTACGATTCTATGCATAGGTATTATCCGCTGTTACCTCTAATTATCGTATCAGCAATAGCAGTGAAGGTAGTTCATGGACCAATAAAGTAATGTAGAACTGTTATAGTACTACTTAATCTATATATAAAATATATAAGAGAAAATTGCGGTATTCATTTCAGGATAACATCAAAATTATATTCTTTATTAACTATTAAAATTATTATAATTTAAAAAATAATCATCATTTATATTGTATTTTATTTAAAATTAAACTATTAATTACTGAATTGAAATATAATTTGTAATCAGAAGCTAGTGTGAAAATGGAAGTACAAATAAAACGTTTGTTTTTATTTCATAAATATATTTATTATAATAAAATTTATAAATATAATTCAATTTCTGTCATATTTTTATGTGATTCTGCAATTCTTCCAGCAGGTTAAGGGGAAGGCACCCAATTTGAATGTATACGTTGGTAACGAAACAGCTGGCCGATATATATGTAAGGCCACAGTAGACGGCTATCCGGAAATAGAAAGCGAGGCTACTGTATTTATTAAAGGTTTGTATAGTAATAAAACATATTCTATAATAATAATAAACTTGGACAAATCACACAACGCCATCTATTCCCACAGTAAGCGGAGCTTGTGTAATGGGTTACTAAACAACTGATACAACTACACAGATACATTTTTTTTTGTAAATACATACATAATATACATTGAAAACACTCAGACCGACAAAGAATCAAATCTCACTAAAGAAACTCATGAAGACAAATGCTTGTATCGTGCGAGGAATCGAACCCACGACTATTGGACGTTAAGCGGTATGCTAAACCACTAGACCAACTATGCCGTCGTATGTATTTAGAATATACATGTACATAACATGTTTTTTAAATACATACATAATTTGCACATAATACCTACATTAAAAAATATATACTTTTTTCACAAAAAAACACTTCAATTTTATTTGTTCGGTTTTAATTAAATTCAAACATACTTTCAAATATTACATTTTTTTTACTTTTACACAGGTGCACCAAAGATTCTGTCAAATAGAACACAATTTGGTACGGAGGGCGAAGGTGTTACTGTTGAATGTGCCGCATTGTCAGTACCCAAGCCTGACGACATCAGATGGTACATCGAAGGCCATGAAATCAGTGTAATACAAGATCCGGTATGTTATTCACTATTATTAAATTTAAAAATATTTGCAATTTCTTCATTCTCACTTCCCCTTAAATAAATTAAAACTTTATTATAACACAAAATAAAATCAGTTCAATTATCAGATTTTATTTTTATTTATTCAACAGACAAAAGGCTAATATCTATACAGCCCTGATTGTCCTATAATGTACACATATTTTCTAATTTTCACATAAGTTCCGGTATGTCAATGAAAAAAAAAATTATTTTAATATTTTATGGTTGAATTATACGCTGAAAAATTTAAGCGAAATGTAAAGATCATTTCTTAAATAACTTTAAAATTAACAAAATTAACAAACTTACCTAATAGAAAAAATTATTATAAAATATTTAGTAAAGTAAAGTACTTAATTAGGAGATATTGTAACCAAATCAGTACAGTTTATTAGTTTCTTTTTCTATTTCATGAAATTAGAAGTTATTTTGCAGTCATAGTTTGATCTATGAATAGTCAACACTAGGCTTCCAAGCCATATTCAAGCTATTAATTGCCTGATGATGTCTCGTTCAGAGACAAAACACGTGTCGCAATATGGGTGTACATTCAATAACGGTCGGAATTTGATCAACATTAGAGAAGATCATAACGCTTCCAATAATGGTGATCAAGTTTACGCAATAAATATTTGTGGTCTCATGCTAATGTTAGAGGAATTAAATAAAATAATATAAATCTAATAACTAATACAGTTATAAGCTTATAATATGAGACGGAAGACAGCAAGGAGAAATTTTATTCTCCTTGATGTTCCACATTACTTTGTATTACCAATATAAAAATTTACACAGGATTACGCAATACAAGAAGAAACACTACCTGATGGTATCGTCAAATCAACACTAAGGATCAGAGCCAGTCAGTCTAAACACTATGGAGTATATAATTGCAGTATTACCAACGAGTATGGTAATGCAAACGCTGCAATAGTACTGAAGCGGATAAGTAAGTATTTTAAATATTGCTATCTGAATTAGCAAGCTATAACTATATATAACATTTTTGGGGGAGACCTTTCTTCAGCAGTGGACGTCTTCCTGGCAGAAATAATGATAATGATGAACTCTATTTACATACATACATATTTTGAATTAGAATAGAAATTGAATAGTCCAATTTTTTTATTCTACCACTATATTTCACAAGAAGAACCAGTAGGAAACTTGCGTGTTGAAATTAAATTAAATTATTTTTTTGATGGTTTGTTTTTTTTTAATAAATTTGTTTCACTTTCAAATGAACATTGTTAGCATAAACTAAAATATTGTTTTATTTAAACACATATGTTTAGTACACTAATTAATTATAACTACCTTTCATCATTGCACATAGCAATAAAGCATAATCTTTATAAAATACTTGACGGAAAATAAACATGTATAATTCTTCAACAGAAACCCTACCACTCTTCATAATACTGATCGGCGTCACTTCCGGCATCATTATATTCGCTGCCTTCATCAGCCTCGTCGTGATCTGCTATAGAAGACGTAGGAAGAGCAGCCAACAGATGAGTGAGAAGCCTGACGTCACAGTGACCACTGGTGATATGTACAAAGGGAGTGACAGAAGTTCCAACATCAGTGACCTCAAAATGCAGTTGCCACAAGGCGATGGCAATTATGAATTGGTAAGTCTATATATTTTTTTAATATGATAATGTAAATATTCACCCTCCTGCGATAACGATTTACACTGGGGTACATACTCCATCTGAGTGTGATAAAATGAGCATGAAGTCAGGTCAGCGAGTCCATCTTGGCAAAAGGTTTACTATGATGGTTTCCAAAGGGAATCGCGTAGAGGTCAACGTGAGATGGTACATCGGTAGCAATGGGGTTATTAGTCGACATTACTAGCAATATTCTTGTTCCAGTAAGTCTATTATTACCACTATCCCTAAAAACTATGCTGTTATAACTTCATACCTTAAATCTCACTATCACAATTCCACCTTTAAATTGGAATACAATAAAATAACTTTTACCGAGGTAAAGCTACTAAGAGAGAGAGAGAGAGAGAGAGAGAGAGAGAGGAGAGACACACTGTTGGCAATTAATATAAATATCTTTATTGTTAAATAATCCAATCACCAGAAGTTAAGCGGTATGTTAAACCACTACATCACCGAGGGTCTCATATATATAGATATTTTAAAATAGACTTTATAGTATAATGTTAGATATTTTAGAGCATGATTATTTAAATAAATTGTTTGTAAATCATATAAAATTACTACTCTTTTATTAGTCAATACAATTCCAATTTGAAATTTCTGAGAACTTTGATATCTGATGATTACTTTTCTTTAAACTAGGATTACACGAGTTCAGATCGGTCAGACACGAAGATACCAGCAGGGTTACCACTGGCAGGACCTGTACAGCTTCCCTCAATCCGCCATGATGAGGCATTAATGCAGTTCCGATACAGCAACGATTATAGCGACCCGACGTATAGTGACCCGTATTTTAAGGTCAGTAGATTATTTATTTAATTTAATTTTTAGTTTTTATATTTCATTTCTATTTTTATTTATTACCAATGATATTAGGTTTTGTTAGTGTACTTGTTAGGCTGAGGTCTAATAATTTGTAACCATTGTAAGTGTACTACTAGATGGATAAGAACTTTACTAACATTAGATTAAAAGAAAATAGCTATAAGATATATTACGGTATTGTTTTGCTAATAATAATGACAATAAATATTATGGCATCAATATAACTAGAGAGAGACACTCATTCGATTATATAATATTAGAATAGATTTAAAAAAAATACCCCATTGACTTATATGCAATACAATTTCCTCCTATAACTAATATATTTAAAAGTATTTTTTTAGATAAAAAATGACCGGTACACATTTACAAAAATTTGGTAAAATATTATTTTTATAAAAACTAAAATATTTGAGGCAACTTTACAGAATAATATTATACATGAACAAAATTTGTAATAAGTGAAAGGATTATGTAGCTTTATTTTTTGTATTTTCGTAATCTATATAATTGTACTTTGTTATTTGGGATTCTAATGTTCAAGTGTTTTTAGGGTCCAGTTGGGTACGTGTACGATTACCCTCAAGGCTATCCGCCCCCACCGAATTTGAGGGTACAATCACCGACGCAATTGGAAGTACCTCCAAATAACCGGTAAGATATATTTTTTGTTTATGCTAAAAATTCACTTATTAGAAATACTGACTACTAAAGGGCGAGTACCTCTTCTGAGGAACAGAGATTGCTTTTTTTATTTACCGAGATAAATATATAATTTTCTATAACATATTAGAGTTGCTCATTTTGATTGTACCATTGTTATCACTGTATAATAAAAAATATGACTAATAAACTAATAAGCTTAGCATACGTCTATAATCCTACTTGAAGTAGTCAGAGGTATTGTCAATTTTCGACGTCATAGTGACAAGAAATTTTTTTTTATTAGGGATCAAAATTGGAGTAATCTATATTCTTTATAAACAGGTCATTGCAAGGTTCACTGACGCGTAGCATTGATACAGCATCAACGCTTCCGATGTCGACCGGCAATGGATCGCAAAATAATTCATTGCAACGAACGACCAAGTCTCCAGATGAGACTGATGCTATTAACAATTTAGGGCTTCCAGTTGGTGCTGAAAGTGAGTTGATTTTTTTTATTTGTTATTAAAATAAAAATAATATGTTATATATTTCTTAAGATAGTTCTAATTTTAAAATCATCATCCGAATTGGTTGTAATATGTTCTTGTGTTTAATATTATTAAACACCATATCTATAACATTGAATTCTTTTCTTAGAATATTGTTTTATTTGCTTTTCGCAAATTATATTAGGTATTTTATTTCAGTTCTATCTTTTTATATTGTAGTTCTTTTGTTATATAAATTATGTCAGTAAGAATTAAGATTTCTTTTGAAGTGTAGATTATTCTGCTTCTATTAGACGAAAAATAAATTTTAGTAGATTTGTAGTAGTTAAATATTGTTTTGTTTTAGCACCGCCAACGCCAATATACGCCCAGCCTAATAACAAAACAGGTGTAGACTTAAGATATTCGGCTACTTATGGAAACCCATATTTAAGAAATAGTTCACTTGGTGAGTACAATCACAATTACTATATATATACTTCATATTTTCATATTTACATAAATATATATTTTTAATCTACGCACTAAAAAACGCGCACTAAAAATATCAATTCGTAGTAATTCTATGATTTATGCAACAGACAATGTCGTATAATAAAATAGTTTCATGTAGGTATATAATTGTACAAAACATATATTTATATATAAAATAATATACCCATATATAATTCTCGTTTCAGTGTTAGATTCTATACTCCTCCAAAAAAAAATTACCGATTTTGATGAAATTTTATACGTGAAATGAAATTATATTTATTCAGTAGAAGAAAAAACTAAATCACACATTAAATAAACAAAAAAAAAAGTAACAAACAGTGCAACAATTACAAAAAAATACACAAATTACGTGTGTGTATGTATGTGTATTCGGTAGGTCTAATACAATCCTTTTACCACCAGACCCTATTTCTCAATAGCGATGTGAATTTATATGGCAAAACAACGTTTGTTATGTCAGCTAGTATACCTACTATAAAAATATTGATTAGGTATATAACTGAGGTAAGTTTTTTTTATGTATTAGGCTACGGACACCAAGTGCATACAGCCCGACCGGCGGCCACACCAGCTCCGCCCCCGTACTCGTCTGTCAGGAGCTCTGTTGTCTTACCGTCAGGTTTGTAGGTTTGTCAATTGAAGTAATTTTATTATATTAAGTACTAACTCTATATCTAGGCATTAATATTAGACATACTAGGAGCTAAAACTAATGAAAAAAGAAAATATAGTCTTAATTTTTTTAAAGATAAACATACAATCAGATTCAATACATCAATCACTCTATTATAATACTAACTACTATTAATGTGGACTTGTTGATTTCGATTCTAGTCTACATTAGAACATTTTGTAATAGTACGTTTCTGACTAATTTTCCAATTATAGAAAAATCGATGACAATCTAACTAAATCCCAGAAATATATTAAATAAAGAAATATTAATGTTATGTTCACCATGAATCATGACGTCCGTAGTTTTTTTAATAGACGATAATGAAATGATGCGTCCTCCGCATTAACGCTAGCGGGACACCAGTGAAGAATGAGCCATAGCCCATAGTAACCAATTCACCAGAAATTTATCACAATTGTTTCCAGGGGGAACCGCATGAAGGTCAACATGTGGTTCTCCCTGGAAACCATCCTGATAAATTGCTGACTTTATGATCATTTTATCATCCTCCACTGAAGTAACCGTTAGCGCAGGCGGGTGCATCATTCCATTATCATCCATAAAAACCATCACGCTATTTATTACTAAAAACTTCATTAAAATCCGTTGCATATATGCTTTAAGATGTCTAAGCGAACAAATGTCGGAAGTGACTTTAGTGACTTTTGAATACTATATAACGATTATGTTTTAAATATATTTTCTTCAGTAATATAAGTGATGTGATATATTTAATTATTTCAGGTAATGGCAACCAAACATCACAAGCTACGCATGTATAGCGAACAATAACAAGACTTGTATAAAGTTACGAACTCATTTTCTAATACAACTAGAAAAAAATATGTAATTATTTATGATTGTTTCGTATTTACACTCATTTTCATGTGAAGTAAAAGTTAGGTATGTGAACTTGTCGATAATATTAATATCGATGAAAACAATTATCGGAAAATTAACTTCAATATTTTATTCAGATTATATTGTGAAATGATTTAATCAATTATAAACAATCATAAATAATTATGGTAGTTGTGTGTGTAAAATACTATGTTCCTAAATAGATTTTAAATATACGACTGAATGTAAATATATGACCTTAGGATAATTATCCCGGTATGTTATTATTTCAAAAATGAATCTTATCGTACTCAAAATTAGGGTACAAATACAATCTTTCAATTTTTCAAAGCGATATGCTCAATGAATTAATAGCCTTTTATTTACAACTAAAAAGAGTACAGGTTAATGGTATTTTTTTTAATACTGAATTTATAACAAAATTGTTGTATAGCAAATAATGGTTTTTCTTATCAAGTAATCAACGAGAAAATACCAGCAGTTGATATTCATAGGCTATTGTTACAACCATATTTATTGAGTTGTTCGCATTTAATACAATCATTAGCGTCGATCAAAACACAATCGAGCTATTGTTGTCGATAGAATTGTACAGGTATTTTCAATGAATTATCGATTGTAATTGATAATTCATAAAATCAATAATATTATCGATTTCATTACATCACTACTCCAATTTGATTGTACAAGCAACCACTAGGTAACACTTAGATGTGATGAAATTGACAATATATTGTGATTTCTTAATGTATTTAATTTTTGTAGAAAAGTCTTTGGTTAATGGCGCTTTATTTGTGATTTTTATTAATAAATAAACAATTAATCTTTGCATGAAATTGAATTTATCATGTAATTACTTTTTAATTTTTGACAGACCAAATTGATATTTAATATTACATTAATTAATAGTAAATATTCAAGCATTTATTTGATCGATAATTTCATATTTATTCCTACGCAATAATTTATAATTAGTACCTACGATATTGAAATATTGTTTTGTAAATAGTTAATTATGAGAAATGCCATAATAAGATTGTAAATATGTAGTTATTATTTTTCATACATATATAAACTTAATGGAATTTAATTGAGGTTGGCTATCGCATCAATATCAAGTATATACATATGAACTAGAAATGAAGTTAGATTCCGATCGGTATTAACGAAACACTAGCATTGAAATGCTTTGCTCAACAACATCGATAGTCGATTTTTATATTCCATTTTCCTCACTAAAATTGTGTATTTAGATTTAACAATATTATGTATTTAGAATTAGACTGAAAGAGATATTTTGTATATTTTATACAAATTAAAACTATGGAATAGTCGTCGTTTAAAACAAATAGGCCTAATCGATTTCGATTTATTTAATATGTAAATGTATTTTATGATAATTAATTAAAAATACGTATATATATTAATATAACGTTTCAGTATGTGAATTAGATAGATTAAAATTAAACTAGTAAAAGTAATAAATGGTATATCATTATTTCTGTGATATGATAGTGTAAAAAAGCCTGCATTTTTATAATTATGACATAATTTGATGCTAATTATGATAAATATGTACTTTTGGTAGATTATTTAAAATATCTTTGTCGTTTTTTTCAATTGCAATGTTTTTATATAATAGTACATTCTATGTAATTTTCATTAATTTTGACATTATCTGGGCTTACAAAAATTATGATGCGTTTTGTTGTTTAAAAAAAACTTTTATAAAAATGTTCAAAAATATTGCATGATACAGTGTTTGTTATTTGCATGCGACAATCTATATTTTGTCATTTTACATTTCATCATTCTGTTCTATAAATAAACTTATCTTTACCATACAAGTGTAGTTTTTTTAATATACTCACCTCTCCCCAAATATAGGATTACATTTTATGAAACGTAACTTGTTATTTACTACAAGTAGCAGCTTATTTGTTAATTTGGGTAGCATAATTGCTAAAATTCTGTTGCAATTACGATCACATACTCTTGAACTCAAATAAAAATTGTATTTAATTAAATAACCATTACAATATTATAAATATTAAAAGTTACAAGAATTATGATAGTGAAATAATTTTCAATGGATAAAGTTGTAAAAATTAAATAATTTATAATAATAATAAAGTAAACTAATGATACATATAATTTTAAGATTTACTTATCTATACATATAAATAAAATTGGACTGTCTGTTTGTAATATTGAAATAACCGTTTTTTACTACATGTATATGAATATAAATACGGTCTGTTTGTTCCGGCTAATCTCTGGACTGCTTTTGACGGGACTTTTATTGGCGGGTAGCTGATGTAATAAGGAGTAACTTAGGCTACTTTTATTTTAGAAAATATCTTTCATTTTAGAAAATGAAAGGTAAATTCTACGCGGATGAAGTCGCGGAGACAGCTAGTTAATAAATATAAACATGCAGCAGATACAAATAATGTAAGTACGCAAGTTCAAGTGTAGGTACAATATCTAATTGCATTTACATTAAGATATAGTTGATATCTTCTGAGTAATCCTTAATATTACGATTAAAGTCGTTTATTTCGTCAACAAAACATTAATTTACCAAAGTTCACAGCTATACGTTATCACAAAGGTATTAAAACAATCTGCCATTCTATATATCTAAGTAACACTTACTATATCATATAAATGTGTGTATTATCTACGAGCAGAATCATTAGCTGCAGCGATCATCAAAAACTCATTTTCTATCGCTTTTTTGTTATTCTCTAAGAAATTAACCAAGTAAAACGTCACTGTTTAGTGATGTGCTCTCAATAAAATATTTATTATAATTGTACAAAAGAATTATTTGTATTTACTTATTCCTTTTTACTACAAATAATGCCAAGCTTACGTACTTAAACACAAAATATATATAGACAACCTTAAAATTCAGTTCTATACAGCTTAACTGAATTTACTCGTATTTCGAAATTAAAACAGTGTAGTTAATAATATAATATTACTGCTATTATTTGATGTCAAAGAATTATGTTAAAGTTACTGTTGCTAACGTACTGGCCCTATAGTTTTATATCTCATATTTAAATTGTATTTTTTACTATTAAATATTGTGTTATATATTTTTGTACATAAAATTTTAGTGTCTAATAAAGATTGTGATAGCAGACAACAACAGGTATAGAATAAGCAAATATAAATTATTATAAAATAAAATTATCTGCCAGCTAATATATAAATATATCAGTGTCATTATATATTAAAAAAACCGGGTGGTGGTTTAAAAAGAAACCGGTATTCAATATTTTCATAAATAGATAAACGTATGTAACATTCAGAATAAAAATATCGATAATACGATAATGTCACATCACTAGTCATATACGATTGGAAAACGGTGACAAAATGGTTTTGTGTTAATGACACGTATATATTGTAGCAGATGATGAAAGTTTTGATCGATTAGAGCTATAGTTACATAGAAAAGAAATTTACACCATTTTACAAAACAATTTTGTTATATGCAAACGTTATAATTTAAACCATAACTTTTATTGTCTATTTTGCGAATCGATAATTGGAGTATTTAATTTATTAATGAGTAGTTGTGCGCCGATCCCAAATAATGGGATAAAGGCAAGGCAATGATGAGTCGTACCCGTGGTTTCACGCGTGTGAAATTTATAGCCCATATGTTATTTTGATGTACAGGCTATATTATTGCAATGTTACATTAAAATACATTCAGTAGATTTTACCTGAAATAGGAACAAACATCTATTCATAGATTCATCTACACTCGTAAACTTCCGCGTTTCTAATATATGAAAGTTAAACGAACTTACCTGAGTGAAGTTCTATCATTATTATACGAAGCGCTTCGATCGAAGTGATCAGTATAAATATCAGTATCTGTATTTTTACATTTTTTTTTGGACAAGTCACACAGGGCCATCTTGAACCTAAAGCTTGTGTTATGGGTGCTAGATAACCGATACGAATAAATCAATTTTTTCGTAAAAACACACACACAATCATACTCATGAATACAAATGTTTGTGCCATCCGAGGAATCGAACCCGCGACCATCGGAAGTAAGACAGTGTGCTACAGAGCTAGATCACCGAGGTCGTCAAATAAATATTGTTTATATATTTTACAGATATTTCGTACAAATCTGGAAAACGAAGCGCAAAGTATAATTACATGTAATCGTCATAGTTTGAGTCTTTGATATGTCCAGGAATTTAACTCATACATATCTATATAGTCCATTTTGTGTAACAAAATCTTTAAATATATGTTCTGTACATTGCAACATTAGGTCCGAGTAAATAATAAAATCACAAATAGCATTGTTACCAGCAATATTTATAGACCAGTCAATCCGCATTTCTGTGGATGAGACAACCGCAGGACATCTCGAATTGCAGAGTTGGCGCGCGCTTGGAAGCTGGGATCTCTTGCAACTATTTCTGTATTTATTCACGTATGTAATCATTTATTTTAAAAGTTTTGCATAACTGGACACATAAATATAAATATTTTGGCTGAAAATGGTTTTCAGGATTTTAAAAATTATAATTTAAGAATCATATTTTTCACCAGAATCTGGCATGCGAATCGACGGTGAGGAGTATGATTCTTCTAAATGATAAGTGATAACTGTCACCTGAACAGTGTCGCCGACATCTTATTATGCCCATTAGCGTTGCTGTTCATGTATCCAGGTGACACGACGTCGATGGCCTGAGTCGAAGTTTGAAGCCCTACCGGTGCCCTCAGACTAAAATCGTATCCATCAGGCGGAAGTTGACCTACAACCACTTCATAAATCCTTCCGCGGATTTGAAGTACGATCTGCATTAGCCCCCTATTGTCCGGTAATACTTAGGCAAGAGTGTTGAAGTAGTTAAAAAAATATTATGTTATAATGCAGTGCATGGTGCAATAGCATATGCCGGTGGTCACTCTATTCTTTCTAATTGAATTTATAAATTAATCTACATTACTGTAAACATGTACAAATAAAGAATAAGAGCTCACTCCTTGTAAGTTTTTCTTAACTCGAAAGCTCTTGTATCTGACGGTAGAATTAATTAAATAAAATCATAAGAGTCTGTAATAGGCAGACTTACATGAATAAAGCATTTTAATAAGACTATTTGACATGCTTTTATATTCTGAAAGAGTAAGGTGTCACAGATCGTATAATTTCACTATCATATCTTTCAACCGAAACGGCTAACAAAATAAGCTATTTGGTGGCTGAAATGGAAGAGATCTAGGTACCCACGCAAACAACTTTGTACAAAGTTTACGTCGCAAACGTAAATTATCTCGTCATATAGTGTATTCGTACATTTTTTTTGGTTTTATTCCAGCAAAAATATAATTTATATTTCTTTCATAACCGTTATATTTTAGTATTCCTTCTCTATATAATTTGTGTCTCATTTTTACGAGTGAATATAATAATTCGGTTCAATGACACTAATTCAT